GCCTTGTTCACTTGGGTCTATCTCTGGGTCTCTATTAAATTGTGTTGTCAAGTCTGGTATCCAATACATATATAGAGAGTGAACTCAATAGTGCAGGATAACATCAAACAAGATAACTTCAATTAACAAGAAATACTTGGTTACAATAAATCTCACTTACAACTTATAAGTAAAGAATTTAGCTCCAGCAGATTTTCAAGTTTTATATTTAACATCACACAGACACATAAAAATAATCAAAGTAGGAACATGATTCCATCAGGCTTTAATTAATGCCTTGATCAATCTGATACACGGCTTAAAATCGTTTATAAAAAGTAAAATATTTGACATACCAGCAACAAATAAAAAATTTCAATAGACCTTGATATAAGGATGTGCATATGCAAATTGAATTGTAGGAATAACAAGACAGACCTGATATTTGTAATGTCAATCAAGGAAACATAAATTGACAATAACTGTGGTTAGATCAAATTTCACTTTTATGCATACTGAGAAGCAAAAAAGCTTAGTAAGTTGGCATATAGAAATAACATGTACAATCCAAACCATTCTAGTTGCAAGGTTTGATTGGTTCAGATTTCCCTCTTTAACGTCTCACCCTTTTCTAATAAAACTCCCAGCAATGGATTGAAATCTTTATACCACTCGACCCAAGGTCTTAAATTGTGGTTGCATACTTGCATTGCTGCTCTTGATATTGCAGAAGTTTGTAGTCAAATACACTTACACAAACTGTTGTAGCGGGGACATAAAAATGACCCTAATATTGTGGTCACAATCTCAACTGCCGACTGTTTTCAAAAACTAGACTGAGTAACTCCTTGCTCCACTCCCTGCATCCAAACTTAGTATTTAGTACCTTTTGTGCTCACACTCATTCATTGGAGATAAGAATGATAGTAGCATTGCAATATGTTTCAAGTTGATGAATTTTGCAAATTGCACTTAGTTATCAGGAATCATGGGTCATTCTTATTTCTTACGAAATTTTAGGCAAGCCACCAAGGCACATCAGCTAGCAAAAAGAAAAAGAAGAAGAAATTGGACCGCATAATACGCGGCATGAAAAAGAAACAGCGCGGATCGTCTGAAAGGACCAACAACATCTACTATTCACCACTCAACCATCTGAAAGATCCACAGGTTTGTAAACTTTTGTCATTGTCATCATAGATACATTTCCTGTTTGTTTTGCTCTATAAAATCAACATCTTGATTCCACATGATCTGCAGGGTTTTGTTGAGAAGCTGTTCTCTCGTCTGCAGAAATGTAACGAACGATTTGAGGTACACAATTCTAATAAAAATCAAAACAACATATGCGTATATTGTTGTAAATGAAGACTTTCAATATGATTTTTAAAGATTCCATGTTTACTTGTTTGTACAATTACACTCAAAATTTTAGGTCAAGATGATGATGTTGAAAGTGATTGCTCGAACAGTTGGGCTTCACCATTTAATTTTACTTAACTTTTACCCTTATCTTCAGAAATATATCCAGGTATCATTAGTTAAATTTGGTGAAGTTTGGTACTTTATAAATAACTGAAGTGTGACAATTGTAATGTATACCTTTTGCAATCAGCCCCATCAACGAGACGTTACAAATTTGCTTGCAGCAGCAGTCCAGGCTTGCCATGATGAGGTACAGTATGTTGTGATTTCTCTTTAACCAGATTTGTTTTTATAATTATTAGCTTTTTCTTTCAAAATTTGATTCTTAAGTAATTTTCAATATGATGCTTTCTTTTGTTTTTCTTTATATCCTATTTCATTCAAGGTGTTATTTTTTGACACAGGTTCCGGCAGATGATGTTATGCCCTTGTTCAAACAAATTGTGAATCAATTTGTACATGATCGCTCTCGTCCAGAGGTTTTTATTTGAATTTGTTTATCATTTGATATAGTACTGTGGAGTTTTTATTATGATAGGGACACTCAACTTTGATTTGTTGATGAGTTTGATTGATATGTTTAGGCTATCACTGTTGGAATAAATGCAGTAAGGGAGATGTGCCTGCGTATACCACTGGTAACTACTGCAATTTTCTAGTTTTTGGACATATATGCATTTTAATTATGTTCTGACCAATATATATATTGCACATCCAACACGAATTGCTTTTAACTAGTAGGATTGAACTAAGCTGACTAAAGATCCCGGTCATGGGTTTGAGTACTACATGTATTCCTTCATTAGAAGATCAACCATGAGTTCCTTGTCTCGTAGGCTTGTGGCATGATCCTTGGAATGGGATAACTCCATTCCTTAAAACATATATTCTGTGCTTTTGGTTAACTTCCTAAACTCCTTCCTTTATCCTATGTTGATCGTTTGTTTGTGGACTGTAGTTAATGAGTGAAGATTTACTGCAAGACCTTGCCCTCTATAAGAAGTCACATGAGAAGGGAGTTTCAATAGCAGCTCGGTCTTTGATTACATTATTCCGAGAGGTGGTTACCGTCACTCCTTTGTATGGGTGTGTGTGCATGTGTAGTAAAACATCTGGTTAAGAAGGTAAAACATCTGATTAATGTTATTTGCTTGCAGATTTGCCCTTCACTACTAATTAAGAAGGACCGAGGGCGACCCACTGACCCCAAGGCTAGACCAAAGGCTTATGGAGAAGTCAATATCGCGACTGACGTTCCTGGTGCTGAATTGTTGCAGAATAGTGATGATGATGTTCAGCAGGACGGTAATAATTCTGATGATTCTGCATATAGTGACTCAGACAATAACCAGGAAGATGATCAGGTAAGTTTAAATCTCAACGATGAGAACCAGCTAGGCAGTGATAACACTGGAAGTGATGACGATGAAGACAAAGATTCTGATGTTATATCAGAAGATGAAAATGATGGGAGTTCTGATTATGAAACCAATGATGATGTTGAAGATGAGGATGATGATGCTCTAGAAGACAGTGAAGAGGCTGATGAAGAGGATGTTGAGATTTCAAATCACGAAGGAGATGATGATCTGCATACAAGTCATGATGGAAGCGTGGATGCAAAATCTACATTAAACGACTCAACAAAAAAGAGGAAGTTTAGAGATTTCAATGATCAACTTATATCTGCTGATACAAGTCTCCGGGCTTTGAAGAAATTGGCAGGAACAACAATAGAGAATGCCCTGCCAGAAAAGGAGGATGGAATTCTTTCTAATGAAGACTTCCAGAGGATCAAGGAACTAAAGGTTTGTTCATCTCTTATTCAGTAGGCTCAGGTCTAATTTCTGTAGCTTTTATCATGTTGAATTTTGTTTACTGAACTCACAGGCAAAAAAAGAAGCAAGAACTGCATTAGCGCAACATGGGCTTGTAAAGTCATCCACAAATAAGATTCCAAGCTCTGATCAACTTAGTTTAAAGCGAGTTGATGGTTCCATGCTTGAAGTAAGTAGCTCTCTGGCTTGTTTAAGTTGTTTCTGTAGATGCTAAAAGGAAAAAACACAGGCAATAAAATTTACTTATTTATATGCCCACCTTCTAGGCTCATGTAAAGAAAAAGCTTAACAAGGAGGAGAGGTTGGCAATGGTTAGAGCAGGGAGGGAGGAAAGAGGACAGTACCATTCTCGAGCAGCTGTAAAACAGAAAAAGGTATGTTAGTTGCTCATATTTGCTCATTTTTAAAAATATTTGAATCTATGCATTTTAATTGTCTTTCTTATGCGCTCGAATTTGATGTATGTGTATATTTTGAATTGAACAGACGGGTGGTCTAAGTAACAGACAAAAGGAACACAAGAAAAGCATGCCACTAATTGCGAAGAGGAATAAGATAGCAAGAGTTAAGCTAGAGAAAAAGATTAAAAGGCAGAGGTCTGGCAAACAATTCCGGGGGAGGAAAGCGTGGCAATAGGGGGCAACAAATATGAATCTGCATTATAAACTTTTTTGTTGTTATTTTTGAGTGCCATTTTTACTTATTGCTTGAATTTTGTTATATTAAATTTTGATTGTGTAATATTTATAGAAATTCCTCGGATTGAATACTGACTATGCATACCAGAGGATCAGATTTTATTTTCCTAGTATGTTAGTATAAATTAAAGGATAGTTTCTTGTATCAAACTATGTCTAAGAGTTTTGGTCTGCTTCTGTGGTTTGGATGAAAAGGAATAACTCACTAAATAAAACTGAAGGATTAAAATGACTTTTTTGTTGTTGTTAAGGGATAAATATAGACCTCAAAACTAACCTATGAGACTAAAAAAGTGATTAAGCTTTACATTTGCTTTTGGCAGATGCTAACACGGTTCTGTTTGGAGCATTAGTTAAAGAAATGACATTAGAATTGTATATTGTAATAATTTTATACGATTTAAATCTCTCTGAAATTTGTAAAATCTTTGAATTTTCCTCTTTGATTTGATTAAAATTTTCTTTTCTTGAAATTTTAAAAAGTCCAACTCAATAAAACTTCTTCCACTTGATTATTTTCTTCTCATTAAGTAACATTTTTTCGTTAGACATTAGACTTTTTATTTAGTATAACAATGAAAGTTAAAACTTTTGAACTCTAGTGTCATTTCACTTGTACGATGATGCTGGACTGACTGAAAAAATTGTTGCAGATTTAAAGGATGAGTGGAAGAGAACTGACGGTTCAATCATGTCTAATGGGTGGACAGATAAAAAAACTTCAATTTGCAATTTTATGGTGAATAGTCCTAAAGAGACAATTTTTCTCTATTTTTCTCTATTCATTGGACACATGATATTTCATAAAGTTTGTAAGATGCTAGATAATGCGATAGAATTTGTAGGAGAGGAGAATGTAATCGAAGTGATCATCGATAATTCTTCGAATTTCAAAGCTGGTGGGGAACTATTGATGCTAAAGCGAAAGAATTTGTTCTGGACTCTATGTGCAACCCATTGCATTGATTTTGATATTTGAGAATTTTGAAAAGGAGTTGATTATTCATCAAGTCACTGTAAAGCATGCAAGAAAGTTCATAACCTATATTTACTCAGAATGATGCTAATTACTTTGTTGAGGAAGGTCACAAATGGGAGGGATTTGATTAGGCAGGCTATGAGAAGATTTGCCAATGCTTATTTGACTCTTGGTTGTCTTGATATGTTTGACTCAGATTATTCTAAGTCTAATAGGTTTGCAACTACAAAAGATGGAAGAAAAATTGCAAAGAGTGTCATGGATCATCGTTTCTGGAAGAATAATGTTATGTGTCTCAAGACTGCAAATTCTCTCATGGAGGTGCTTAGGTTGGTGGATTTTGATGCAAAACCCACCATGAGTTTCATCAATGAGGTGATGGATTCTTGCCAAAAATAAAATAAAATTATTCAAAGCAACTTCAATAACATTCAAAAATAGTAAGTTCACAACTTCTCATAGTTATTGTGGCATTTGAAATTTAATATGTGGACACATCATTATGATTAAGCTTCTTACACTTTAAATCATTCGGTTTGATTTAAAAGCATGGATGTTTTCTTACACTTTAGATCAATCCTTTTTACATTATTATTATTATTATTATTATTATTATTATTATTATTATTATTATTATTATTATTATTATTATTATTATTATTATTATTATTATTTTGGTTTATTCTTTTAATTTAATGTATTCTTTAGTCAATTAGTTGTTTACTGTTTGATATAAGATAAATGTTCTTTATGTATATTATAGTTATGAATTCATATGTTACGATGAACGTTGCTGCATAGACGTTTGCAGGTGGCTGTGTATTATCTTAATCTTGAATATCACTTTAGATTTTAATATGAGGTACGATTTTACGTTTTGATTTTATTTATACAAAATGAATCAAGATAAAAACTTGATTCAGACCACTTTGAGAAGACCAATATGACCATGTAAGAGATGCAAGTAAAAAAATCCATAGAACCAAACTGAACCGTATAATCGAATCGAACCGTTGTTAAATAACCAAAATATTCTCTTTGGTTAATGAACCGAACCATAGTTTATAAAACAGTTTAATAACCAAACTAAACCGGTTAACCGAACCAAAACAACCGCATTTAACAAACCAATTACTTGCTTATGTTGTAACTTTGGTTTATTTCCTCCAAATTTATTTTTTAACATTGAAGTTTATTTAAATTATGGAAAAGTAATTTCTTAAAAAAATAATTTTTATAGATAAATTAACTGATAAATTATTTTCTAAACAGATCATTTAAATAATTAATTTGGTATTAGTAGTAGTATATTGTGTGGCTAAATAATAGGGAATCAAATAGTAGTAGAATTTGAAAAAACAATTATTTTCTGCAAATAATTGTACAGGGGAGTTTGACACCATATATATTTACCGAAGAATTTAATGACATATTTGGATTTACAGCAAAATTATTTGGATTTCCTTGTTTATCTATGCTTCCCATTTCTGCCAACAAAACATTTCTCATACAAGAAATGGTTACTAACAATTTGGTATGGTTCGAAATTAAGAATCGGTGTACCGTACCAATAGTTTGGTTCAGTTCGATTCTAAATAAAATGAAACAGTTCGGTTTAATTCTTACAGTCTTTTGTGAAGGTTCGGTTTGGTACAGTTCGATTCTCTGAATGAACTACACCATGACCAACCCTACAAACAGATACATTCTCGTTTTTTTTTTTTTTTTTTTATGAAACTAAAGTACTTTTTTTTAAAATTTGATGTCATTAGACTAATTATAACTCTTCCATTGAATAAGAACAATTTTTAAAATTTAAAAATACGAAGATGGCTACGTTGTTTTGATCAGTTTTACATAAATTTAATTATTTTTTAATTTAATAAAATTAATGAGAAAATTGAAGTTGTTATAATATTAAAGGTTTGTCGAGATGGACCAACTAAGGAATAGTTTAAGAAAGGTTTGTCGACATTCCAAATGAAGTATGTGAGAAATGTGTGCAGGCGAAGCAACACAAGAACAAATTCATCAAAGATACAAGAAGCAAATCGAATGTGATTCTTAAAATCATATACTCTGATGTATATAGCCCTATCCAAGTGAACTCGATTGGAGGTAACAAATAATTTGTCACTTTCATATATGATTTCAGTCGAAAACTATTGACTTACCTGATCAAGAAGAAAAGTGAAGTGATCGAGGTATTTGACAAGTTTAAATCTATGGTCAAAAGACAAAATGGTCGAAAGCTCAAGATTTTGAGGACTGATAGTGGTGGAGAATATGTGTTGAAAGACTTCGACACATTATGTGAGAAAGAATGGATTGTGCACGAGGTGGTTCCACCTTACACTCCATAGCATAATGAAACGACAAAAAGGAAGAACAAAACCATCATAAATATGGTGAGAAATACGTTGAAAGACAAACATTTACACAAAGAATGATGAGAAGAAGTTGTGTCGACTGCAACATATATTTTGAACAGATGTCCGACAAAAAGGCTAGAAGAAATTACGCCAGAAGAATGTTGGTTTGGTGTCAAGTCTAACTTAGGTCATTTGAAGGTATTTGGATCTATAGCATATAGACATGTGTCAAATCAGTTGAGAAGAAAGCTTGATGACAAGTCGATTCAAATGATCCTAATAGGATATCATTTGACTGAGGGTTACCAGTTGTTCGACCCAGCGAACAAGCAAGTAGTGGTCACCAGAGATGTGATCATTAAACGAGCTTAAGGAATGAGATTGGACTGAAAATGTAAAGAAGAATTCAATGAGAATCTAATGTGAAGAACCAACAAGTGAAGTCGAAAGAGGAGTTCGACAAGAAGAAGTCAGAGGTCAAGCAAGCACAAGAAGACCTCAAAGAACAAGACACATGCCTGCAAGGTTGCAAGAATGTGTGATTACATCAGACGATGTGGTCGATGATGAAGATGAGCTGGTACACTATGCTTTCTATGCATATGTCGAACCATTCAATGCGGCTAAAGCATTGAAGAATTTAAAGTGGGTGAAAGCAATGAATGAGGAACTGAAGTCCATCGAAGTCAACAAAACTTGGTCACTTGTTGAATTGCCCCAAGACAAGAAGGAAATCAATGTGAAGTGGGTATACAAGGTGAAGTTGAACCCCAAAGAAGAAGTAATTGGACACAAGACAAGACTTGTGGCGAAAGGATTTCTTCAGAAAGAAGGAATCGACTTCGATGAACTCTTTGCACCTGTTGCTAGGATCGAAACAATCAGGTTGATTGTTGGTCTAGCAAATATGAACAAGTGGCACATATGTTATATGAATGTGAAATGTACATTTCCGAATGGCCCCTTAGTGAAGAGGTTTATGTTGCACAACCAGTTGAATTTGTGAAACAAAGTGAAAAAAGCAAGGTATACAGGTTGCATAAAGCCCTGTACAGACTTAAACAATCTCCAAGAGCTTGGGATAAGAAGATAGATAATTTTCTAAGGGATAAGATATTAGTGAAGTGCACAACTGAGCATGAAATATATGTAAGAAGAAGCAATAGTGAATTACTTATACCATGTCTCTATGTCGACGAATTATTGATAACAGAAAGTTGGAAAAAGGGGATTGAAGATTTCAAACATGACTTAAGCGAGAAGTTTGAAATGTCAGACTTGAGAAATCCTTCATACTTCCTTGGAATTGAATTCTACAAGAGTAGTGGAAGCTTGATGATGCACCAAAAAAGATATGTAGGCGAAATACTCAAAAGATTTGAGATACAAGATTGTAACCCAACTTCAACTCCAACTGAGCTCAGAATGAAACTGTCGAAATACACAGATAAAGATGATGTCAATCCAACGCAGTACAAAAGACTCATTGGATCATTAAGATACCTTTGTCATACAAGACCTGATATAGCATACAATGTGGGTATGGTAAGTAGATTCATGCATAAGTCAAAGGTATCACATCTAGCAGCGACGAAAAGGATACTAAAGTATTTCAAAAGAACTCTCGACTATGGCATTTTGTTTCCTGTAACTGATGAAGGAAAAGAATGCAAGCTAGTGGGTACATTGATTCAAGTTCATATAGTGATGCCAAGGATAGAAAATTCACAGCTGGCTATGCGTTTATGTTAGGTGGTGAACTAATTGCTTGGATTTCAAGAAAAAACAGTAGTGGCACTCTCGTCGTGTGAAGCAGAGTACATAGTTGCTTCTCTTTGTGCCCGTCAAGTAACATGGATGATGAATTTGGTAGAAAAGATAACAGCGAGAGTCATGGAGCAATTAACATGAAGATCGACAGTATGTCTGCTATCAATCTGGCGAAAAATCTGATAGCGCATGGACGAAGCAAGTATATCGAAATGAGGTTCCATTATGTTCGAGAGCAGGTAGCGAATGAGAGGCTGAACTTGGAACACTGCAGAATTGAGAATCAGATTGCAAATATCATTACGAAAGGAATGCAGATCGAAATGTTCAAGAAATTAAAGTCTATGATGAATGTAGATAGCTTAGATACAATAAATTAGGTGGTGTGTTGAGAATATAGTTCATGGTACCGAAGCATGTTGCTGTCGAAACAACTAGTTGTCGAAGTGTCAAGGAGTTAGTCTCGACATGGATTTTTACTTAGACTCAATTTTGCAGTGTTAGTAGAACTAAGTATTTAAGCTTTGCTTAAGTAGCAAGCAAACCCAATTTATAAATAGCGAGTAACCCCTATTATTGAAAACATTTGAATACTTATAGCTTGCAAGAAAAGGAATAAAAAAACATAGTTTATGAGCAGAGAGAAACTTTGTAAAAATTCTTCTTCTTCTCCTATTTTATTTTGAATCCCTAATTTCCTTTCTTTCGAATTTAGTTTTTTTATTTTTTTCTTCTCCATTATTGTTGTGCTGCAGAATCATCTTGCAATCAAGGTTTGATTGATTCACTCAAGTGAAGAGTAAAGAACAAGAAGAGAATTCAATCGGTTGATTGAATCTTGTTCGTCAAGATTGATTTGGAATTACTCAAAGTCTTGGGTTTCCAATCAACTACTAACCAAACCCCATTTAAAGTAGTATTTGGTCGAAAACCTCCATGAATTACACGTTGGATGAGTGGCAAAAGTAGAGTCGAAGTAGTGCAAAGGGATAGTTTAATATGTTGTTGGTGAGGGGAGAGAATGAAATAGCTGGCAGATAAGAAAAGACATGACAAGAGTTATGAAGTTGGTGAATGGGTGTTTGTGAAGTTGCGAGCACATTGGCAGCATTCAGTGGTAACTAGAATTCATGCTAAGTCAGCAACTCGATATCCTATAGAGATTGAGAGCTGCTGTATACAAGTTAAAGCTGCTAGAGGGATCGAAACTTCATCCCGTGTTTCATGAAGTAGGGGATTATCATGAAAAGGAAGAGTTGCCGGATAATTTAGAAGCCTGAATTTGTGTTAGCAAGAAGGCCAGTGCAGTCACAATGAGAGGAGATAGTAAACAGTAAATTTCTATTTACCATCAGAACGTTTATCACAAAATATGTTTTAATTCAATATTATAGTAACAACAAGAGAGAGTGGAAAATGATAAAGTTAAAGATACATAGAGCAACCACATCCACAAATACAATGATAGAATTGTAGTGGCTCAAACTCATATCACATTATCCTAATGAAAACCAACAGAAAAATCTAGCCAAAGCACTGATCAGCAGGGAGAGGACCAGGGATGTAACCTTGTTCAAAATACTGCAAACCAAAAACAACAACAATTGCAACCAATGCCAAATACGACAACCCTTCAACAGCACCAAGTAACCCAAAAGGACCATTAGGTAGACCAGAACCAGTTTTTGATTTGGTGTATAAAGACCAACCAACAATTCCCACTACTACGAGGTAACTTATTCCTTCTAATGCACCAATTGATCCACCTGGTCCTGGTGGAAGACCACAACCAGTTGTTTTCAGTGTGTAGAGAGACCAACCTATGACTGGAGATGAGATTAAACCACCTGCTATTGCTGCTTTCTCTGTTATGCCTATGTTTGTGTCACTTCCTTCTTTTGCCATGCTTGTGATCTTGAGTTTCAGTCTCGCATGATGAGATTTTGGATTTCTACTCGAGAAATTTGAATGGTTTGTGTGTAACTTTGAGGTTGATAATGGGGAGAATAGTAATATCTTTGAGGCTTCCATGATTACAGAACTTGATCTAAGTCTGAGAGCTTTTGAGAGTGCTTTGAGAGGATAAGATATTTGCAGAGAGATAATTTCAGAATAAATAATCCATTTCTAATTATGCGAGAAATTGATATATATTTTTTGACACCAGAAATTGTTATTTAGAAAGTTATATTATTTTATAAATAATAATATTATGTTTTTTTTTTGACAAAAATGATTAAGTTCATGCTAATAAATTTCCAATTTAAAATTTAAAACTACATTATCAATTGAAGAAAAATAAAGAACAAACTAAACATGATACTAGATTTTAATGTTTTCCTTGGTTGTTTAAAAAAAATCTGCTAGACGAATTATTATTAACCCCATCCCATTTTATAGTAATAATGATTATTATTATTATTATATTATTATCAAGTCATTATTAGTACTGAATAATTCATATTGTCATTTATGTTCATGAATTATTTTAAGTTATTATTGAGCGTTTTTAAAATGTATCCACCAATATTTAACCCAAGCTTGCACTCAAATTTACAAATGTTAAAAAGATAGATACAAAAAATCAAGATGAGAAAAATAATTTAAAAATAAAATGTTTTCCATATTCAATACAAACCTACCCTGTTTTGAAGAATGAAATGCAATGCAATTCGAGACGAGTTAGTGTAAAGTCACATATCAGAGTCAAACCAAATATATACAACAGTATACTCCCGAAGAAATCTACTCATTTCGTTTATCTGAGCTATGTTAGTAACATACAAGGAACTCATCTCAGTATTCTGGAAAACCCGGCATTGTCTTGGAGGACTGCATTAGTCGAATATTTGGAGGAGCAGATGAAGGAGGAGCTGAAAACGACCTCATAATAGAGCTTGAACTTGAAGCAGGAGGACTGTAAAGTTGGTTTGAGTTTAGCGAACTAGAAATGGCAGCACCATTTGTGACCTCTACCATGGGTTCAGGTTGTTGGTGGCTTCGTTGCGACGCATCAATATCCATTGATTCTAAAATATTCTGATTTTGATGATTGTGTGTTGCACTGGGAAGTTGGGATTGCCAAAAGGTTGACTGTTGAATAGCTGTGGAATTGCTTGCACGAGCATTGCTTTTACCATCGGCCTCATCCTTTCCTCTTGACTGATGGACCATGACCGAGACCTCGTTAGGTTTGCTTGGTTTAAATTCCGGCAAATTTTCTGAGTCCAAAGAAGTAACCTCCATAGCATCAATCTTAGATGTTGAACGTCCAGAAGCAATTAGGGTAGTGGGAAATGCTCGCTCAGGAGGAACAGCCGGGGTGTAATTAGAGGGAAGTAAATCATCCCAATTCTCCAGTAATTCTTTGTACACTTTACGGAGAGTGACTTCAGTAAGACCAGTTACTTTGCAAATTTCGGCCTGAGTTTTGCGTTTGTCTTCTAGTTGGCAGGCCAAATATATGGCGGCAGCTGAGATGCTAATTGGATTCCTGCGAGTGCAGAAGCATTTGTTGATCACAACGTCTCCAATATGAGTAGCCAGTTCCTAAAATGCAATGTAGGAGCCATTCTCAGATATGGGTATTATTCAATATAATATAAAGAATGTCCACACATGTAATGAGTACACAGTTCTCACCACGGACATATTAAAGATGTTTGCCCATTGGTAGAGATAGAACAAAAACAGCAATAGAAAATTCATAATCTTATAAAAGCAAAGCAGTTATGTGATGTAAGGTCTATCTCAGATCCACCACCCCCAATAAAAAAATCATAGATAATATATTCAAAATCTGTTTAAAATTTTTGGTGAAGAGAAGTAAATTTAAAAGCTATTACTAATTATATCATGGTATAACCGTTTCAAGATTTTCAAAACAAAACAAGGTCAACACTAGACGTCAAATTTTGATGCAAACCCCGGTTACCTGAGCAGATTTATTGAGCTGAAGAAGAGTGCAAAATCTTGGCATATGAACTGATATAGAATTGCTGTTAATAGGTTGACTTAGCTGTAAAGCTTCTCCCAATATCTTGATGTATTTCCCAATTTCCTTTTGTGCCACATTTGCTGCAATCGAAATTTCCTGCCATTTCACAAGCATTGCATGTTAGTCATTATAAAATTTTTTAGTCATTATACAAATTTTACTCACATGAAGTACATATCTCATATTTGATACCGATACTTTGGATACTTCACCAATACTTATTTGTGAAGTATCCAAGTCAGATTTTTCATGACAAAAGTTGTATAGTCCTTACAGCACAACTTCAACAACAACAACAATACCAACATTCAAGCCTGTGGAGTCGGCTACATAAATCAAATTATGCTATAAAGTTCTATCGAAGACCATGTTTTTATACAATTCGTTAATCTCCGTATCTTTCTTAATAGTTTCTCCTATAGTTTTCTAAGTCTTTCACCGACCACGAGCATCCCCAATAACCAATTAAGTTTCAATCAATAATTGAATTGAAGAAAAGAATTATAACCTGAAGGGTTCTAGGTTCTTGAGCTTCTCTAATGGCCTGAACAAGTGCAGCAGTAGCAAGCGCTTCAACACTCCGATTCCTCAAACAAGTAGCAGAACAACAATCCCTAAACAACTGAAACGCATGATCACAAATATCACAATCCAATCCAAGTATCGAAGAAACATCGATAATCTGCATATAAGCCCTAAGATTATCAACCACAACGGTAGACGAGGAAGCGGAAGAAGAGGACTCAAGCGTCCGTTCGAGTTCGGCGAGGTAGCCGGAGAACGAGAGAGAAGATTGAAGGTAAAGCGGGGTGGGCTCTAAGGACCATGTGGAGAAGGCGGTTATGAAGCCCGTGGGCTCGAATGGGTCTTCTTCTTCGCTTTCGTTGGTGTTTGGTGGTTGGTTGTTTTGATGGAGTGTGGGAGGAGGGAGATCTGTTGTGACGAGACAGAGAGGGTTGTCTTGGGCTCGGAGGTGGAATATGTGGTGGGGATGAGATTGTCGTTCTTCTACGACGCGGCCGCAAGATGAGCATTCGGTGATGGATTTTCCGGTGGTTGTGGTGGCGCAGCGACCCTGTGCCGCTGAACAGTACGGACACTTCATTTTCTTAGTCTCTTCCTCTGGTCGATAGTCAATTATCGCTAATACTCTGTAGACTATAGTCAATACAACTGCTCAAAGATTGATAAAATAATAAAATAAATAGTGTAAGTTTTCTAATATTATTTGTCAACTATCTATTCATTGCCACAATTCTTCCAAAAATATCCTTTACACCTTTAAAAATTATGTCTTACAAAATATTACTCATGTAAATACTAAATAACATATTCAACTATTTTAAATGGCTGAGAACCTTGCTTTCATCCGGCTGTCATTCACCAATTGGACAAAATTCATCTTAATTGCTTATAATGATTTTTCCACTCTTTTCACTTCATTACCTCAAATCTTATCTCTCTCTTCAATATTTCATCCTTGCCACAAGTTTTGCTTCCTGCACCACACCTTGCCACAACCAAACGTCTTGCTTTCCCTTCCTCATTTATCTGCCTCACAATCCAAGAAAAGAAGTAACAAGATTCATCCTTCATCGACTTTTTTTTCACTTCCTTGTGTATGCACTCGTTCAACCTTTTTTTTTTCATTGCAACTGATTTTTCGTGAATGTAACCGGTGGTTATCGTTTTTTTTTTCATTGTTCGTCATTATGCGTGACAGAAACCGAAAGTTTGGGGTTTTCCCTTATTTCCATTAAAAATGTTGTTTTGTTTAACTTTGAAAGCGTTCACTAATGATTTTTGGGAGACTCTTTTTTCACTTTCTCGTGTATGCACCCATTTCAACATTGGTTTTTGAGAGATTTTTTGAAATCCTGATGTTTTCTGTTCATCATTTTGCATGTTGAAAAATTGTAACTGTTTGTTATTATAAATCATGATTAAGCATGTTGTTCAAATACTCCAGTTTAAGCATGTTGTTCACCATTTGAAGAAAGTTGTAGCCGAAACTTGTATCTTTGTCATGAGTGTACTTTGATGAATGTGCACACAAATAGTTTACATGTTTTCATTCTTACACATAATAGTTCTGCTAACAAACAATCCTATGAAAAAGGTTGGTGTGGTTACACTTATTATTTTGTTGTTGGTACTTTTCAGATCAACATGTCTAGGGAACCCATTATCATTGCTGATTTGAAGGACCGTAACGGACAACAACACTTTGAAATTGGAGATTTAATGTCATACGTAATTTGCATAACCATGACCTGTGTGAAAAGTTAGCTGGCCATCTAGATGTGTGTCGGCTCATGTCGAAAGAGATGGAATATGTTGCTGACATGACATTGATTTTGGTTCAACCAAAAAATATACTTGCAACTTTGAAACATAATAGACCGGAAAATATCTCAAATATCAAGCAAGTGTACAATATTCGGTGCCAAACTAACAATGTTCTTAGAAGGGATAAAACTAAAATGCAACAACTCTTGAAACTATTGGATGATAACGATTATGTGTCTAGGTACCGAACGTGCGAGGATGAAGTTGCCGTTAGAGATATATTTTAGACTCATCTGGATTCTACCAAGTTGTTAAACGTGTTTCCTACGGTGTTCATACTTGATTCAACGTACAAGACCAATAAGTATAGACTTCCATTATTGGAGATGGTTGGGGTTACCTTTATTGAAAAGACATAATGTATCGGGTTCGCATTTTTAGAGAGTAAAAAAGAGAAGAATGTTACTTGGGCCTTAGAGGTGTGTCGGGAAATGTTGAAAGACCAAGAAGAGATGCCTAAAGTGATTGTTACCGAATGCGATATCGTCTTGATGAACTTGGTTGCAAAGGTATTTTCTACTTCTTACGCATTATTTTGTAGGTATCACATAACAAAGAATGTGAGAAGTCATATTAAACTCGCGGTAGGGGTGAAACAGGTAGAGTCCGAAGATGGAAAAATAGTGAAGACGAGTGTGGTTGTGGAAAAAATAATGGATGTATAAAATCGTATAATAAATTCTTCCACTAAATAATCATATGCCGATTTTGTTATGCATTTTAGGAAAGTGTGTGAAAAATATCCTGATTTGTTAAAATATGTTGAAAGCACAATTCTTGACCAGGTGAAGGAGAAAATTGTTTGTGCTTAGACTGAGCAGGTTAGATACCTTAAAAATACAACAACTAACTGAGTTAAGTTTGCCCATGCTACATTGAAGAATTGGTTAGGAAATAGTAAGAGTGATTTGTGAAGAGATTGAGACTCCGTGAACCAAATGATTTAGAATCAGCATAATGAGATATAGACATCATTTGGTAGGGAGCATCACAGTTTTGGAACACAGATTTAAAGATAACAATCTTTATTTTCAATTGGTCGACAACATATCTCGAGCGGGTTTGAATTTTATTTTTCACAAGGCTAAATAAGTTGATAATGTAGGCTCTGATAGCGCAAAGTATGGATGCACAATTGTGAAAATATATGGTCTCCCATGTGCTTGTGTTATTACAAAAAGGTAAAAATTTGTAGCCCAATAAAAATAGATGAGGTTTGCAGACACTGAAAGAAGATTCGGTTTGATGATAATGGTGGTGTCATGAAAGACGGTAAATTGAATATCTTTATCTTGGCTGAATGGAAAGTGAGACAATAGAGGTTTTTGAAAGATGACGACAACATGAAACTCCACATTAAAGAACAATTGAGGAAGATTACTTATCCCAAACCATCGCCTTGAAACCACCCCCTTAACCGGTCAAAACAAAAGATCCTCAGAAGAAGCTCAAGCCTACACCAAATGACACAGTCTCCTTAATATTTTGAACATGTTGACAAAGTTTTTCCTGCCTCACCAACTCTTAAATCTCAAAAAAGTATTGTCAAAGGAGCTCACATTAGCAAACCACCTCCTCCGCCGCCTCCGCCAAAGTTAACGAGATGACATTTTTTATGCACAAATACATATAGCGGATTGTCAATGTTGATGGGGACGGTAATTGCGGTTATCGAGCTATTTCGGCTTTACTCGATAAAAGATAAGATAATCATACACTTGTTTGTCATCAACTTATCTAAAAGTTAAGGACTCATAAAGAATCATACACACGGTTGTACGTAAAGAAAGAACACTTCGATGAAGTTTATGAGTCTCTTGTTCATTGCCTTAGTGGATCAGCACGGGAGTGTTGGCTCTTAATTTTGACGCCTGAATGAAATTAAAAGTAGGAAATAAAGTTCCTGAAGAAATTTAATTATTTCGGCTGGAGCCATATTTTGAAATGGGAGTCGAAGACGTCCTTTCGTTAGGAGAATCTATGTTACGGACTTAGAGATATTTCTCAGCAGTTGGAAGATTCAATTAGACAGAGGTGTCACTAAGGGTATTTCAACAAGTTCATTTGAATTCAAATAAAAGAGGGAAAGTTCAGTTTCATCTATTTCTTAAAGGAGACACGCGCTTATAGAATCCGAATGCATGCATAACGACACTTGTCTCGATTTCGTTTGCTAGCAGTTAATGTCAGTTAATTTTTATTATTATAAATAGCAGGTCTTAATGTTAGAACTTGTGTGTGCTCAATTGTGTACAAATTCTTCAGTATACTCCAAGTACCGTGTATTGAGAGAAACGAGTTTGTAAGAATGTACGTTGATTTAACACCAATTTTTCATTTCAATGGAATTTAATGAATCTCTTTCTTTAAGAATTTATTCTTTCTTTATGCAAGTTCTTGTCTTTATCATTTACCAGTACTTCGATTTTATTTATTGTCACCTAAATTTATTTACATTTGAGATAAGTTACTTTATCATGAACTCTGTTGAAGTGTTCATAGTTTTTATAAATTTTATTTGAGATCAATTAGCACATGTCTTAGGATTTGTGCGGCCGATCCTGCAAGTAAAACAAATCTTTTTTCGATTTGTAAGACTAGCGGTTGTTCACCAATTTTCACGACGAACAAGAAGAAAATGGTCGCGCTTCCCTGAAATGGGTCTCCTCATAACATGTGTGTATAGTAGAGTGTGTGTTGACCTTACACGATACAGTTTTTTCAGAAACTTTTTTCCACTGTGTACTACCCCGTCTTAAAATTCAAATAATCGTATTATGCGTATTGGGTGATTTTCAAAATCACGACATTTTGTTCAAGTTTACTTGAAACCGGAATTCCCTATACCACTTACATCACCTGAGTGAACGACTCATTCAACAACAAAAGTCGAGACTTTTCTGAACCATTTTGTGGAAAGGATGCAAGAGTTCGAGAAGTTGAGTAACATTGAAAGAGAATCAAATGCTCAAAAGTCAAAGGGGGTGCCACCCATAGATTTAGCCGACGACAGATGTTTTGATTCATTTTAATTTCCTGTTTAGCCAGACAAATAAGTATATGTAATTGTGTCTCAATATTAATGAAGTGTAGTATATTCAATTTCTTAATGTTTTAATACTTTTTTTATCTTTCTCATAACATTTGTTCATTTTTTATGAGAAGTTCCGGAGATGTATCTCCAGAATAAGATAATAGAGTGCGGAACCGAAGATATATCTTTGGAGTCAGTATGCCAGATTTTGAATGGTCCACATTTGTCTACAATTTCTATAAATTAATGTGCTCTTGTTTTTTATTTTTCACAAATTTAAAATGTCACAAATAAGCACCATCTAGTATGTCCCAAACGTCTCCTTCTCCAACGCGACACCCAGGCGAAAATTTAGACTCACCGAGTACACCTCTCTTGCAGATCTGAAATACGAAGTCCATAATCTTCTACCTTACAAAGACAATAGAAAAATTGTCAAGCTCGAGTACCTTTCATTATCGATTAAAAACAGAGAAAATATTGAGTTCAACAACTTTGAGTTTAAGACGAATGCGTCTGTAAAGACTATACAGAATACATATTTCCGTTTCAAAACAAAAAAATTTCTCGAGTTGAAAACAACGATTTCAAGATCAGTGGAAAATATTGTGAAGATGTTGAAGCGTTCACTTGAATATTGAAGTATAATGTTGCATATGATGTTAAAATCATCTATGTAATACTTATTTTATGTTCTCAATGTTAATTTTATTTTGTCAAATTACATTTTTTGTTTTTGTTTTTGCTCCTACTAGTGCTTCGCATATCTATAGACATATATTAAAGATGCATCTACATTATGTGTGAATTGAATGCGTCCGCATATCGAAATTTGAGAGGTATTTTAGTGTTTTCACGTGATGCATAACATATTAAAAAAAGTTTAAAGGTAGTGCACCTTTTTCGCAGACATCCAATAGGTAGTGCACTGGTAAATCAATTTTTTCACAGGCATCCAATCAAAATGTTTAAATTTGCCAAATCATAATTGATATTAAAAAAAAATAATAATAAAATAAAAGAATTAACGGGATGCATATCTTTCATTGTAAATATATTCCCTTTTATGCTGAAGATGTGAATGAAACTCGAGAGAGACTTCTCTCGTCACTCTACTCCTTAACTCATTAGCACCAAGCCAACCACACTAGAAACAATAGTTTGACAGCATTTAACTAAGAAATATTCACACTTAGCCCATCATATTATAGCCTGTGGTACTCAAAAGCTTCATCTTCATGGACTCAAAATGAAGTGGGATACCTAGTTGTTACCTCGAGAAAATCACAAAGTTTACCTCTCAAACACATTTTCTGTTTGAAAAGCAAAATCTAGAGTTGAACCATATCAGTACATGGGATCTGGTTACGGTGCATCTTTACTTTAGAAAAATATACCTAACACCAAAACATAAAGTTATATATTTATTTATATTTATACATGTAAACCACAAGTAAATTTAATTTATACACCCATTAAATTTGATTACCAAATAATTTAAATATAAATAAATCAACTTGTCATATAGCATATTGACTATGTCTAAAAGAAAATAGTCAGTCAATTTTGTCTGACGAAAAACATTGTTTTAATTTACTACTTCTCTTGAACTTGACTGCAAAATTTGAAAGAACCAACCATAACCTATTAAAATACATAATCATCTTGCTTATGGAAAGCATGGAAATTTGAGTATGGCTTCATCCATAGCTGTTTCTTCGCAATCTTTTTATGGCACTCTCAAGCACAGGACATACCCTTGACTGCTCATTATAGTAGTCTTTAAGCACGCCGAGATGCAATGGCTTCTTTTCCTTTCTCAGCTATCTTGAGGGTTTTGCTAAATTCCTGTGTTCTCTGAAATTATAAGCAGTAAATACATCAGGCCGGAATATATGCATGCAGACTATGATTGTATTTTTCTACAACAAAAGGGAGCAGGGGCATCACAATGGCGCTGGAAATCCCAGCTCTAATAATCATCTGCAGCATGCTATACTAAGTATTTGTAAACAGATAACACTTTACCAATCATACATTCATACTTTTGAAAAGACAAAAACAACTCCAATCCAACTCTTTATTTGCAGAAGAAAAACATGCAAGGTATATAAACTCCATATAATTGAGGCAAGTGTTTTACAATAGACAAATGTTAGTATATAAAAATATAGTTAATCAATTTATATAAATATACTAGAGCAAAATATGCAAGCAAACTACACTTTTATTTTGACCAAAAAAAAATCCCTCTCTACTTTCAGTAAATGAGACTAAGGTGTGTCCTGATTTTTTAAAAGAAAGTTCAACTTTGTTTTCTGAGGGAGTAAGCTGGTTCTCAATTTTTTTTTTCTGGGACCAGGTTTTCACTCTAATAAAGTAAGTTCAATTAAATGAACAATTCTCAGTATCAGGGATCAGAATAGGCCTGTAACATTAAGTTTTAAGGATTTTGTCCCTCTAATCACGCTGATATTGCATCACCAATCAACACAACAGTCAGCCATTACTTATGATATGACCAAAATTTTGTTCGTTCGATTATGAAGGATAGAACCCTAAAAGTATAGTTAAAAAGGGTACAATTAGTAAGTTAAATTTGCTGTAATAAATAGAGGAAGCCTTCTAATTTTTGTTCAGTCTAAGTTTAATTACGAACTTAGCGTCTTTGATCAACTGAAAAATAAAGCTTTCAAAGTATAGTAAGAAAGGGTACAGTTAGTTAGAAAGGGTACAGTTTTTGTTGTAAATAAAGAGGAAGCCTTGGAGGGAAAAGACACTTTGGGATTCCCTTCTTCTTTCCTAGAATCTTTGGGTGATCATGATTAACCAGCATGAACTTCCAATTTAAACAAAGAACGTTGCGATAGGCCCCTTCACCTGACTATAATGAATGAGCAATTTCTGTTAACTAATGAGAATTTGTCAACCCTAGCGAACTTTCTTCTGACAAACAATAAATTCTCAACCATTTTCCTAAAAATTGTTGCAAGTTGGATCATTTCTGTTTTCTGACGGTCATTATTTCTACCATGGAGTCGAGTCATGCCATTAGTGATTCGGCAAAGATGGTGATATGTGAAAAAAAGATAGCCATGTTGGTCATTTTGCTGACATGGAACTATCAGTCTTATACAGAAGTCGCGCAACACATGGACAGGACTACTTTGCATCAACTCCAAAACAAGACATGCACTAGAAATTTAGGAACCAAGGATTAAATTGAACTTTTTCAAACCAGAGAATCAAAAGTGTAAATAAACAAAAAGGAAACCCCATAAAGTTATCATTAACATTTGGTCAGTGATGCTGGCAAAAAATCTAGTTAATTAAAAACTCCTCGAAAGTACTCTGCTTAAATCATCATGATGTGGCTATTCAATAAATTCTACACCTACGAGGTAACTAATCTCCAATTAAACTCAAAGTGATGTGGATGCATATAGAGGGCATACCATGTCATTTAATGTAGAAGCAAAAAGGAATTAGTTGACAACATAAAAGAAAAACACATGCGCAGCTAATAGTGTTTTTTCAGGCTCATCTATCATGCAGCAAAGCATTTTTATCGTAGAAGTTTTTCAAGCTTTTTGTATTTTGTCTTGTTATACATAGGATATGCTATCCAACCAGACAACGAATGAAGTGAAGAGAATTCTAATAAATCAAAGCAAGCAAGATCGCTGTTTAAGCATATTGGAGTAAGACAGATAAAGAAAGATGGCGACACCTTGTAATGTAAACCTACTTCAAACTGATTACACCATATTATGCAAATAGCAGTGATATTCAGAACAAAAAAATTTGTATTAAAACTAACGAATTGAGAAAGAGAACCAATGAATCTCGGTAACCATGACCTAAATATAGGTAATAGATGGTAAAAGACATTTTCTATTATAAGTCTAACATGCAAATTCAAACTTTCAGCATTTTGCTCATACAAAATACACCATGCATGTACATAACTGCGCGGAACCTCCGACCCAGAGAAAGGTTTAGGCAATCCTCAAGCAATTCACTAATATGATAAATTATTCTCAACATGATAAATATGCAAATTGCAACAAATCTAATGAAACACTTGTGACAAAAACCACATTCTAAATAACACTAATCATTGAGACTCAAGATTGGATTAGCTTCTGGCTTGTGAAACTTTCCAATTAAAATAAGTATATGTTTCTTTGTTCACAAAAAGTCCTAATATATGTTCATATGGAGAAGCAAAACGAAAGAGCATTTTAAAAGTATAAAATACAAACTAATTTTAACTCATGAAACATTTCACAAACTCATAATTTTAATTTCAAAAATCTTTTAATATTTATTTTTTCACAAGTAGTTTTGTGGAGAAGTTTAACTCATGTTTTGGATAAACAATTTAATTAATATTGTTTATAACACAAACACTATAATTTATGTGCTTGCTGCTTAGATATAACCTATTTTTATAACAAAAGATAAAATAAGTTGTTTTCATAATTTATACAGAAGAGCTTATAGAAGTTCAAAACAACTTATGACCATGTTATCCAGAACAGTATCACAAGAACTCATTATTCAAACAGAGCTGATCCTCTTGAGTTTGTTCAACCCAAAAAAGTTATAGACTTTGAATAAAATAGTAATCCAATTTTCTAAAGCAAAATGAAATTTGAAGGACTGAACCAGTTTTCACTTCACACCAATAACAATAAACTATTTCAAACAAATATAAAAACAATAATATCAACTAACACCAGCATAGATCAAAGAAGAAAGCCGAACCGTGGATTGAATAGGAGGCGGATCAAAATTAACCGAACGCACAGACATCTTAGCGATCTCAGTGATTGCATCATCTCTAACACCAGGAACATCACTAGTCAATTCTTCATAAGCAGCCTCAAAAGCCTCTTGCCAAAACCTCGGCAACCTGATCCTACGGCTGTTGGTATACACATCCCACATATGCCTCACCACCTTCTCCCTCTCCTCCATTTCCTACACACACACAACATAATAAAATCATAATTCACAAATCACATCACCAATTTCAGAAATTTCACAAACATTAGAAACAGAAAAATCTCACTTACAAGAACATCTAGGTCATCGTGAATCGGAGTATCTAAATCACTGGACAACGAATTGAGATTACCAGACCAACGAAGAGAAACGGTACCGGTGAACATAGACCAAAAAGCGAGAAGCAAAATAGCAGCTAATGCCCAGAATTTGTACCTTCCTTTCCCAAAAAGAGAAGAATCCACGTTTTCCTTCTTAATACTTGTTGTTGTTGAGGTTGGAAGTCCATCGTCATCCTTCATTTCTCGTTTTGAAATCTCGAAATCGATCTAATAGATGTGTTTCGCGTTGCACACAATCAATTAGATTTAACACCGGTTGATAAATAATCGTTATGATTCTATTTCTGCTGTGGTTTCTTTCTACACCGGTTGAAGCTTCATTGTTTTGTTTTCCGATCTAATTGTGTTGTGTGTGTGAACGAATGTGAATGTGAGACACCACCGGCACCGCGTTACTGATTCAGATGGAAATTGTGAAATGACGGATTTGGTGTTTGAGGGATATTTTTTATTTAATTATTATTATTTTGACTTTGGTTTTTTCTTATGTGGCATTATTCTCACCGTTGAGTTCTTGTGTTTTTGTGTGTATGCTATATCTGCTTTTTGAGGCAACCGACAACCAACGACACCGTTTTCGATGCTTTGTTTTTTTTATAAATAAATAAGAGTTTATTTTAGATTCAACTCAAACTGCATTTCTATTTTAAAGGTTCAATTTCAATAATTTAAAGTTTAGGAAGAAATGAACCTCTCATCTTCCACTTATACTTGATATCCTTTAATTATAACAAAAATTTATTTGTGTCGTTGAAATTTTTTTAAAAAATATGAAATTTCTGATTTGATATTAGAAATTTCATCATTATACCAAAAATTTTATTAAATTTATTATAGTAGAACTTGCATATGGCACATATCAGAAATTTTAAATTTTTAGTGAAATTATAGCAAAAATATAATAATTACGTAAAATAGATAACTCTTCCGAAAATTTAGAATTTTCGGCAAAAATATCATAAATTCGAAATTTTTGATATGAAACCAAAACTTCAAAAAAATTAATAATTTCAATATTTTTGTCACATTGCCCTACATAAATGGTTTCACATATAATAAATACATAATGTTCACAAAATTATATAGAAAATTAAGATGAATTCCTAAGTTCTTTCTCCTAGTACTTAATTCATTCTACATATGTTGATTCTCATGCTTTTGCTTCTTTAGTACAGTTCTGTCTCTAATGGTCAGTGACGGGAGACAATGAACTATCAGGTTTTAATTTTACCTGAACCCAATGATTTCTGTTGACGAAACCAACAACAATGATTTTATGTCTGCTCGTATACATAGGTGAAGCTATGGTAAGAGAGAAAAAGGTAATGTTAAATCATGTGACAAGGAGACAAAGACGACAATGTACCTAATTGCAATAGGGTAACCTATATTAGGAATCGACGATGTACCCAAGTGTTATACTATTAAGAAATTCCTAGCTTCATCAACCTTGTTATATAACAATTTGAAAAATAATTTTGGGTGTTGATGAACTTGAGTATTCAACTACGTCCGGACCAACGACTATGACTCTTCGCCCCATCCAAGTAAAGTTGTAATAGCCCGAAAACCATAATTTACATTGTCACCCACATCAATAATGTTATCAATGTATGGATGTAAAAAAAAAAAACTGAGACAAATAGAGATGCCTTGAAGATACAGTGGACAATTGAATTTGACTCGACATACTTGAAGGTTGACTTTGACTTGGAATACTAGAAGGTTGACATCATGTTGGGTTTATACATGATCTCTTTGTAGTCTGACTCCCCTGCAAGCCCTCACCGTACTCCTAATGTGATGGATCACGATGCACATCACTCTCTTCACCCTTTATGCTTTTCTTAAGTCTTAACCCCCCCCCCCTCTTTGGCTTGTACTTCACCGACGATGGACACATAGAAGTTGTGGTTGGATGTGTTAGTTCCCGAACTTTTTTCTTCAACATCCTCTGGCCTACAATATCTAAAGAATTAAAATATGCCTTCAACTCTTCACATTCTGCCTCTAAATCCAGCTTTGTGCCACTATTGTCATGACCGTTAGCATGCTCTTGAATGTGTAACTTCTTCCAAAAAAACATGAATTGGTTCTAAAGGAACAAACAAGCTTTGTATTTGGAAATCAGCAAGTTGAACCCATGTGTAGTTCTAATGCAGCAACCACAAATATCCTTGCTTGTACCAATAAATTTTACTCTTTCTAGCTCCTTCCATATGTGCTGTATACATTGCTTTGAAACAAAACCGTGCAAGTTGGCATAAAATTGAGTGTTATACCGATGCTTAATATTGATAATACTTTTTTGAAACAACACTCTGATTAAACCTAGATGCAACTTTAGCATGGTATTCACAACATCCCAACAATGGCATAAATCTCCCCGACTTGTAGTCAACACATTTTTCATAGTCCAATGAACAGACTCCCCCCTAAATCAAGATGTGTCCAGAAGATATCAGCAATAAGATTTGAGTTTTCTCAATTTCTTGTCCATCACATATACTTTTCTCTATGAATAAGAGTAAACAACATTTGCATTTCTGTCAACTTACTCGCATTGTACGTAGCTTTAGCTTTATACACTTAGATAACATTGGTGAGGTTTTCTGGATCTTTGTCTTTCAAGGAAGAAACTATGTATCGTTAAGCCATGTTATACTTCGTCACGTCATTCACAAATTGTCTCTCATGATCTGTTAAACGACCCAATATGTCATGACCATCTAAATCCTCAGATAGTTTATGATTGTGAAGTCCACACTTAACCATCACTTTCCAAGTAATACCACTCAACGAACATCTCATCATAAAAGGACATTTCACTTTCATACTATAAATTCCATCTGAAGATTTACTACTTTCAGATGTATTTTTCCTTTTATAATTTCTCATCTCTCACAATACATAATCAACTTATCCTTCCTACCTCGCTGGCCATTTGCAGTATCAGAACAAACAATCACAATTATAATACCATGTTACTTATCAATATGTTGTGCCCGTGCTAATACTTCATCTCGACCCTCAAATATCCGTTGTTTAAATTACATAAAAAAATATAGTATCAATATCATATATCAATATCATATTACGCAACGAAAATATTAAATTTTAACATGTTATATAGAAAACAAACTGTGTCCGTGGTGAAGAATTGCACGTAATCTCTACACAAATTCGTAGATGACTCTGCCGGTTTCAAACCACACAAAGAAAACATTTTTGAACTTGCTACTATGTTACTGGAAATTTTAGTTGCAAGCGAAATTTCCAGTAGTTTTTGCTGGGAACCGGAAATTTCAAATATTTTCGGTATTGTTGCCAACATGTTTATGCTATTCACCAGATATTTCCAAATTTTTGATATAAAATACCAGATATTTACAAATTTCCAGTAATGTATACCAGATTTTCTGAAATTTCCAGTGTATACACATGAATTTTCAAATTTTGCGCAACAATGCGTACTGGAAATTTCAAACAACTAGCGAAAATTTTGAAATCTTATGTAGAAACAAGTGATTTTATTTTGGAAAAATAGTAAATTTTTTAGGTAAATATTAACCGGGGAATTTTTGAAATATTAAAAATATGGGGGTGGCAAGTTAATTCCTCAAAATTTAGTTTTTTATGGATTGGGTTGAATCAATTTGAAGGGTAAATCTAATAGATTTGATAGTTTAATATTTATAAGATCAAACTTATAAAAATATTTTTTTATTTTATAAAATTTAGTTGGGATACAAACCCCAAGTCCTTCAACACCAAATTTTAAGGTGAGAAAATACTTAGAAGGGGGGTTGAATAAGTATATAGAAAAAACTTATAGCAATAAAAACTCAAGAATTTTTATCCTGGTTCGTTGAACTCAACTACTCCAGTCCACCCTATCAAGAGTGATTTGTCTTTCTCAACAAGGACTTAATTCACTATTAAATCAACTGATTACAATAGCAAGCACTAAGAGCAACTGATCTTAGTCTTCTTAAGAACTACTGATCCCAACTGGATCTTCTTAAGGATCTTTTACAATCAAATGTAAGAATAATACAAGTGTTTAAATTGCTTATAGTTAAGCTATATCACAACTGTGATTTATCACTTAAGATTTAAGAACTATGAAATAAATTCAGCTAATGAGAATAAATTGTATGAGAGCTTGTAATGAATTTCTTTCAAAGATTTTGTCAACTGAAGAAGAGAGATGGAGTCTTCCTTTTATAGGCAAAGATATCCAAGTAGTTATCACGTTGAAGGTTGTGTACTAAAAGGTCTGAGCCTTTTTGTCTTCACATCACATGACCTTTCCTAGAAGTAGAATGCACAGAGAAATTCTTTTTGTCTGTGTTCTTGTGTCTTGCATAAAAGAGGAAAGAGTCGTTTGGCCATACCAACGGACATAAGTTTGAATTCTTCTTCAACAAGTTTCAGCAAAGTATCATCAGAGTCTAGATAGGTCAGAGTCTTCTGATGTTCATCAGAGTTTGCTGAATCAGAGTATTTGCAGCATGTGTGCTTTCAGCGTATAATTGTTCCGAGCAGAGTTTGGGATCAGATCCTCAGTACTGGCAGCGTAGTACTATCAGAGGCTTCTGAAATAAACTAAGCTTGAAACTCTTCATACATAATTCTTCACTGCTTCAGATGCTTCTGGCTTCTGCTTCAGATTCTTCTATAGCTTCTGCTTTAGATTCTTCTATAGACAGCGCTCAGAATCTTCTGTAGGCAGCGTTCAGAATCTTCTAACAGATGCTTCTGACGCTTCAGAGCCTTACATATTTTTCATGTTCAGATCTAGTTTGCTTCCAGATTGATATACACTTTAATATCTGCAGCAAACAATCTTAAACACTTTTTAGAGTATATAATTCTTTAATACAAAATTTCATAAGAGTTATCATCAAAACATAGAGATATAATTAAGAACCAATCTGTGTTCTAAAAATCTCCCCCTTTTTGATGATGACAAAAACATAAGAACTTTTGTTTAATAAACAATATAATTATAACTCCCCCTGAGATGATGAATCTCCCCCTGAATTGAATACTTAGAAGAAATATAAACTTCCCTTTTTGCATGAGTATTCTTTTCAGAATCAGAGCCTGATTGTTCCAAAAATTAGATCTTGACTTTGGATGCATGTTTCAGAATCAGAGCATGATAAGTTAAAACT